AAATCATAGTAAACAGCTATCAAACACTTTAAGTGAATCAGAAACGCCAACGGTACAACAATCATCAGTAACATTCAATTCGGATCGATCAGTTATAAATGTTGTGAAAACGATAGAAGCAATAGGTAAAGTCAATGACGAGATTATTCAAAAAATCAACAAAATGACGGATGACATAAATCTCGTTATTTATGTGATTATGCATCAGAACGATGGAAGTTATACAATAAACGAGGAAATAAAAACTAGGCAAGCACAAACTGTCGTTTCAGAATGGCAGAATAACATCAATTTGATTCATATTCAAGATGTATTCAATTATAAACTGAATTATAATTGTAATAATTATCAAGATCTAATGCGTTTGAATAGAGAGATGTTACTAGTCGTTGAAAGATACAAATTAATTGGTGATGGACACCAAGTGTTAGAAATTGTCACTCAATTTAAGGAAAATTTTCGTCGTATTCAAGTAGCTCTTCAGAAACTTCTTCAACTTTTGCGAACTGGCGGTCAAAGTCATTTGAGTGATATCAAACAACGATTGGATAATATCAACAATGAAATCCAAATACTCCGAAATAAGTACAACAATTTGAGCTTCGTATAATTTAATGCTATATTTCTTCCACAACAATAAACATGGGTATTTTCTATAAAGTTATTTAAATCTATATTAGAACTTTGTTCACTTCTTCTAAGAATTCTTGTTCCATACTTTTTTTCCTATGAATAATACTATATTGTTCTCGTATCGCATCTAATCCATGAGCAACTCATTGACTGTTCACACAAGAAAGCAGAGATTTTTAATCAATCAAACGTCTATATACATAATGTCGAGTGTGTGTGTGAGTCTGTTACTAGGTCAAAGCTCAAAGGTAAGATCTTAAGCATAAAAAATCAGCGTTAAGTTTCGAAAGAAGCTTCTAAGAACTTTTTAGAAACGTGTAGAATTTTCTGGGTGAGGGCGTAAATGTGAGTGGATGTGTGGTTGTTGATGAAGAGGATATCCACATCCAACTTCTCCCACACTAAATCTTCAATCTTTTTTTCAAATTAAATAACAATTGGAATTGCTGCTTGTAAACATTCAATACCATCATCTAGTTTACTCGTTGTCCTCGTCGATTGATATTATTATTGATGAAGTAAATATTCGATTTCTCATGAATGATTAATTTTGAAATCGGCGACGAAAGTCTTTGAGTTAGTTCAAGTTCAACATCGGACATATGAAAAAAAGCTGAAATACAACAATGATTATTTCTCTAATAGAAAGTTAGTAATATTGAAGTAAACAATTTTGTCTGACCTAAAGAAAATTTGAGAGAGGTAAACTTGTCCGGTCCAACCTGACCTACATGATTTCAATTCGAATCTTTGGTGACTCAATTTAAAATCAGCAATATTAGCATCAATATCAATGACGGAATTGGTTTCATAGAATATGAAATTCAAATCGATTCGAGTTGTGCGAATTGTTCGCTCAGAATGGTTGTTCAATCATTGAATAAGCTCATCGATAAACTAATGCTGAACATGGTCAAGTTTATCAGTGATTGTTACCATTCGTTTTTGGACATGTTTTCTCTAGGACTTCTTTACATCATCGAAGAGTTTGTAGTAATAATCTTTGTGAATCATGATTTGAAAACTTTCGGGTGGAATTTTTTCTATGACATTTTACAACTCACTTAATTTATACGAAGCTGGACTTGTAAACTTTATCAATCTTAAAATTTCACCTATTCTACGACACGAGTCAGTAACTTACCACCACGCATTGTATAGTCCAAAACAAAATAGTTGCCAGACGATAGAGATTCTTCCATAGTAGAATTTCTAGGCACTTCAATGATTCCATTCGATCTCTTCCTGCAATGCACGAGTCTTCTTTCGCTTGTTCGAAAATACATCTAGCATAGTGAAGTACAGCTTCCAATAATTCGTTGTTAATCATGGATTGATATTGTTTTTCGATGGTTTTGAGCAGTTTAATAAATTCAGATTTTTCTACATGCGACATGAGTGAATGAACCCTTTCATTGCATATTCTGTCAAATTTAGAAAAAGTTATACTTTCCACTGCCTTTCAGTCGCATAATTTTGATTGCCTTCTCATAACAAATCAATTGTTCTGTGTTTCAATGTGAAGTTTCCAGAGATTGTAATACAAGGCCAACCTTTTTGTTAGTCGCTTTCGTTTCATCATGCATATAAAATGTAAAAAAGAACTAACTATTGTTTCTGTGTCGTATGTAATTGATTTTGGCAGGTATCCGAACCCACGATGAATGCGATAGTAGGACGAGAAATTGAGAGAAAAATTTGAATGTCATTGAGACAAGAAATTGAAATGGCTTCATCTGGTTTGACGCTACATTTTTGCACTTAAATTGTTGTGTTAGCCATATTTTAAAATGGAATGACCAGAAGAGTATAACATATTCTATCGTCGGATGAAATGACAATGATTTTTTTATACAAATCGAGCATATAACAAACATAATCGATGGCAAGCACCATTGACGATATCGGAGAAACATTAAAAATTGAGTCCGAACGACAATATATAAATGCAATTCGACTATCATTTGTGAACAGAAACAAACTTTCTGTTGCTTTCAAAATAGTAAACAATTGTTCAGTCCATGCTTTCGAAAGATTAATAAATTGAGTACATCCATTTGCCATACATGTCGGATCAACAATAAAACTTACGGAAATCATTTTACTAGTACTTGAAGAACGTTAATCACGGAATCTCAAAAACGTGTCTGTATCATCCTCGTTCGTTTCCAATTTGTGTTTAGTCGAAATATCTTCAAAAGTGTCGAATACTTTAGAAAAGTGCAATCCGGTATTCATTTCACTCTTTTGGTATAAAGATAGCAGAGATAAAGAGTAGTGAACGCAGCTTTAGAAAATAGTACGCTTAGACATTATTTAATTCATTATCTATTCAGATTGTTGACAAGCTATTCTTCCAATCTATAGAGAGATACAGGTAAGTAAATTATGAATTCGTTTTCTCGTATAAAACATTTATTCCTATTCTCAGGTGGCTTTCAATTAACACTGAAAAAAAAGGCTTCGAGAATTGCAACAAATTCGAAAACTATTTATGCTTCGTACATAAGTATGAGAGTATGGATATGGATGTGTGTGTCTAATTACTTCAACCACTCATCCTCATCCTTCGATGTTCAACACATTCAATCTCGGATCCAAAATTCGTCTAGGCGAATCTGACATTGCATATAATCTCAGCTTGGGCGCAAACATATGTATATATACATAGATTGTGTCTACCTCTATCGAATCAAGAAAAGTTTAATCAATCAATGCCCATATTGTTGTCTTTCTGGAAAAATTAATATAGGAATTAGATGCTATTGCAGTTAAGTCATATTTTTGCACTCACTCTCACTTTCATACTGATTGTTGTATTAAATTTACCAATCAGTGTAAAGATATGACTCAACTGCATGCAAGCAGAAAGATTGAAAACTGATACATTGACAAAAAAGAACTTATTTTTCATTGATTAACTTCACGAGAATATTTTTTTATGGTTGAAATTTAATATTTTAGAAAGACAGGCGTATTTCTATATTTTTTTTATTATTCTAGAGTAAAACATGCTATTGATTAAAAATAATAATATTTCAATATATCGATTTCATCATTGATAAAATTAAACTCGAAACTAAACAAACTTATTGATTCTAAATAATATGAAAAAGCTTTAGATGCTTTCGATTAACAATTTGAAATATGTACAAATATTACTAATGATGTGGGAATAAAAGTATGCACTATGTTACATGATTATAAACGTGATATTACTATTCAACAAAAACTTATCATATTCATTTAATAATCTTTTTATTCAAACATCATTAATTCACTTTTCTAGTGAGTGATTCATTTTATCAATCAGAATATAATTATATCATCATAAAAATAAATCGATACTCCTATGAATGAGGGCGTTTATATTTTTCAAAATAAATTCTTTTCTATTTTTAACTTTTCTGCATCAAATAATATTTGCATATTTATAGATTTCTTCTATAGAAATAAAAGATCTTCAAAATTTTAAATCAATATAATAAACTGATTGTTTTTTCTCGCGCATATAAGAATATTCTTTCATGCTTTTTTAATAAACATATTAAGATTGATTCATTAAAAATATCTCAATAGTTATTACAGGTCCTGAACTAAATTTTTCAAACTGATGTTATTTTATGAGACAAACAATTATTGAAATGAGTGAATGAAACATTTTATAATAAATTTATGTTAAACATTCAACATTAAAAAAAAACCATTATTCCTTTGGAAGTAAAAATGTTAAAGTATACTAATCTAATTTTAAATCAAGATTAGTATCGTATCTAACTCCGATCATCATCAATCAAGTATTATCAACTACTGTTATGTCCACCAAAACACTCTTTCTTCGATATGAAAAATCCACAGTGAAAATTTCGATAAACAATTGATAGATATTGCTTTCTTTACAAGTGGTGTGAAATTATTAGTTAGTTGCAGACGTAATAGTTACTTATATTAGCTAATGCTATTGCGCGAAGGTTGCTCAACGAATTAGACGCTTATCACAGTGATCAATATTCTAGTTCAATAGAGTAGATCAAAATTCCAAACCGAAAAGTTTTGGTGTTGATACATGCTAACATATGGTTGTTGAAAATGAGAAATGATATAATCATTATAAATGATATGAATTTGACTCTGTATCATAAAATTCTTTTCTCTTCTGTCTGTAACTTGCACATTTCATTTTATCTATAATAAAATAGACATATTTTACTTATGAGCATTAAAAAAAAATATTAGTCTGATGTAAGTAAATTACCAAAGAAGCATTGAACAGAAAGAAAATGATCTTTGATCTAAGATCGGTAGCATTTGAAATATTTATAGATTTAAAATTGAGTATTATGTACATATACACATTATTGTAGATAATGAGTGAAGCAGCAGCAGTTGAATTATTAAAACGAGCAATACAACTTGATGGCGAAGAAAAATATCCAGATGCATTAACTTGTTATTCCGAAGGTGTTCGTATGTTGCTGAATGCTGTTAAAGGTAAAAGATATAAATATTAGTCTTTTTTAAAAAGTTTCACTATTCGTCTCTTTTGTGAAGAGTTATATTGAACTTTTGTTATGAATACATGAATAAAAAGATAGTTATTGACTTTAATTGAGTTAAGAAATTAAAATAAAATTAAAATATAGAAATGTTTAGTTTTCTTTTTGTCCAGAGATCTATAAAGAAACTCAATAATTATAATTTGATCATTGTCTTGTCTTGTTACAAATAGTTCTTGATTACAGGTGATTCATAAGCGAGAATTAGTTGCAGTACTTAGTTCCAATCATGGATGGAGGAATGTGTAGGCTAGTGAGACTTGAGCCACATCACAATTACAGCTTCAAGAGTGTGAGTGTGAGTATGGAATTCTTCTTCACTTACATCCACACTCTTGTAATAAAGTTGTATTTACGATAGTAAAACACTAAAAGGCAGTGTCTTAAGCAACAATTTTTAAAAAAATGAGAAAAAAATTCTGAAAAAAAACTGTAGATATTTTTTTCACCTCCAATTGTAACATAAAGAACTATTATTCGTTTTCTATGAGTCAGTGAAAATAGTATGAAAATAGACCGATATGCAGTTTTCTTTTTGGGCTATCCAAGCATACTAGAGAGAGTAAAAATAAATGAGTATTACAAAATTATATAAAAAAATGATAAGACTACAGTTTTTTAATTCTAATTTGTGACTTTTTATATCCATATAGAACAATGCAAATGAAAATCTGCATACAGATTTTTTTAAATACTTTATGCCATCATAAAAATATCTTCCACTAAGCTTTTACTTTAATAAAATTGTGAAAAAGTAGAATATTTTCAATAAACAAGCAATTTCAAAAATATTTGAATATTAATAAGAACTAAATTATAATTTCATTTTTTTTAAAAAATCTAGAATAAGAAAAATATATGAGAATATGTTCATATCCTCATCAAGCTAGAAATCTTGAAATAAAACAATTTTTCCTTTACTTTTGGATATATGCTAACAACAATCACACAAATGGTTTACTTAAAATAACTTATATTGCTCATATAAAAATTGATATATTATGGTGAATTTCTCATGAAAATTCATTTTATAGTTATTTTTAATTCGGACGAACTCCTTTTAGTCAACATTGACATTATCTTTCTTCTGAAAGATATAATAAAAATAGCACGCATTTTATATGATAATGAACTAAAAAGTAAAATGACATATAGATTGTTATCAATGAGTTACTTTGGAATAGGGAATAAAGATTGTACAGAAACTATAATAAAAAATGATTTCATCTCTGTTGATGATATTTATTTTAAACAATTTTTTTAAAACTCATCATCTTTTTCTTTTCTAATTGAATGATTTCCCATATTGATTTGCTAGAAATTCCATCGAATGATGAACGAAAACGAGCAGCATATCGACAGAAAATCACAGAATGTATTGATCGTGCTGAAAAACTCAAAGATTTAATTCAACAAGAAAAAGGTATAGAAGATTATTTTCATATAGTTAGAAAAGAAAAGAAAGTATTTGATATACATGTTTTTGTCCTCGTCTTCTTTTTTCTTACAATTATCCTACAAAATCATGTAGACATATTTCTCTTTTTTATCTCAAACTCAGTGAATAAAACGTGAAAGTATTTTTTTTGTTTGTCATGTCTATTATTTACACATTTACATCACTATTCTTTAATCATACATGCTACTATTTTAATAAAAGAAAGTAGTAAATTTTTCGTTTTTTTTTCATCATTATGTCGAAAATAATGTATATTCTTCTGTACATATTACAATACATCTTTTTCAATCATGCATAAAATATACAAACAATTGTTTCACGAGATTTATATGTACCATCACTATTCACGATGCGTTGTTCAAATAATTATATTGTTATTATTCGAAATGCTTCACATGGTGTTGCACAAATTTCGGGTTCATGTTCATATATACCAGGTGATTGTATTATTGATGCAATGAATAGTATAACATGTTTAAATGATTCAAGTCAATATTCGATTTATGTAATACATTATGTGGTCCATGTCAAACTGAACTTTTATTTGCCAAATGTTCATCAACAGATAAAATCTTTGTTTCATATAATTTAACAAATCAAAATATTCAATCTCAACGTGGTTTTGCATTTCTTTATCATCTTCTACCAAGATTAACTACAATTACATTACCATCAACACGAATATCAACATCATTAGAGTTTGGACTTAGTCCAGTAAGTACAATGATATCACAAACAAGTATATGTGTTCAACGATCAATTCCATTACGATATAATACTGATTATAGTCTTGTTTTACATAAAATTGATCTTGCTGTAAGTAAAACAGGTATTTGCAATTATTCACCTGATGATTGTTTTGAAGAACCTACTTATTTGCAAGGTATATGTGGTGGAAAATCATCTTGTTATATATTTCCTCCTTTAGTGTCATTATCAAAATGGAATAATTCTAAATCAACTTATTTCTATGCTGAATATCAATGTATTCCAAATCGACCAAAGTTAAATATTAGTATATATTCGTTATCAAATTCATTCGAAAAAGCTGAAGGTGATCCAATTTTTTCATCATTTTGTTATACATCCGAATATAAAGAATGTTAAATTACTTTACAATCAACAAAATTATTAGGAAATCTAGCTCATAAATCATTTTCTATTTTGTATTGTCATGGTTAATTTACCTATTCGATCTTACCGTGAACAAGGTTCACAATGTAATGATGATGATCCATATGTTGAAATTGAAGATTCACAAATTAGTATAACACGTCTTTGTGGTAATAGTCATACACGTAAATTATTTAAAACATGTTCAAATACTATTTTAATTCGTTATAAGAATTTTAATCTGAAAACAAATAATATTCAATATAAAGGTTTTCAATTTTATTTTGAATCAATTGAAAAAATAGAATGTTCTGATATTACTACAATTATATCTCAAAAATCACAAGAACCATTTATTAGCAAAGAAGAAACTCTTTGTGCATTATCAATTGATCCTGAATGTAATAGTTTTTCATGTACACCTGATCATGGTCTTGTCTTTTTACAATCATATGAATTTATTACAAATAATCTAGAATCATGTGATATTACACAACATACATGCCACTATTTAAGTGACGAACCGCAAGTACTCTGTTCTGGTCAACAATCATGTGCATATATACATTCAATATCAATTGATCCACAATTAAATATTTGTCATGGTAATAAAGGTGATTCAATTCAATTTTTTTTTATCAATGTATATCAATAAGACCAACAGTAGCTTATTTAAAAGCAACTTTTTGTATTGATACATACGTTAAATTTAATCGAGGATTAATTGAAACACCAAATTACCCAAATTCATATCAATATGGTTTATAACAATGTTCATTATGTATTTTATTATCAAATACTTTCAAGGGTAAACAACTTTCGATATATCTTTATATTATCGATTTATCAATACGTGACATATCAACAATAGATTCAACATCTACAATTGAATGTTATGATTCAATTATTTATCGTGATGGAAAAATAACAAAATCATTATGTAGAAATATTGATCAACCTATATTCGAATATCAAACAGATAAAGATGCACCTGAATCAATATTGAATATAATGGAATTATTACCTTCGAATATATTAAGTAATTGGCATGGTGCTAGATTTTTTTTCTAATTGAAAATCAATCACTACCAACTCTACCAATAATTCTAACAACAGCAACAACAACAAAACCTGTTGGAAATACTACAATTAAACATTCTAATCATAAATCTATGATTGCCAGTATTCTTAGTGGTGTTATAGTTGTATTATTATATATAATTGGTTTTATATTTTATCGTCATCGTTTATGTTGGAAAGGCATGGAAGGATCAAAAATAGAATATAGACGAGATATAGATACAATTAATAGTAATATGAGTAATGGGCGTAATGAAAATCATAATAGTATTTCATCTGGTGTATTAACAGATTCAGCACCATCAACATTTACTAGTCCATTTTATAAATCAAAAAATACAGAAGATGAGATCAAAGCTTAAAAATATATTTCATTTTTATTCTAGTTTTCTTTTTGAATATTAAATTAAAAAAAATAGATATATATGATTTTAATTGTCTTTGTTTTTTTTATTGTTCTTAATTTTAGCTAAAACTTATCATGAACAAATTCAGATAAAAGATGGTTCATTAGGAAATAGTTATGAAAAAATATTTAATCGATTCTTAGATGAAACTGTTACACAAATTACTATTCAAGATCCATATATACGAGCTTTTCATCAAGTCTCTATGATTTTTTTTTTCTTTTTAATTATTTCTATTCATCTAATAAATTATTATTTAGATTAGCAATTTTTTACGTTTTTGTGAAGTTATTATTAAATCACCAGCAAAGATTAAACGGATTGATTTAATTACGGGTTTTGAAACGGTAGATTAAATGGCATGTTTTGTTTCGTTTTTTTCTTAAATTGTGATAATTTATAATTAGAATGAACAAGCAAAACAAACACAAATTGAACAATTAAATCAATTTAAAGAACATCTGGCAACAAAATATTCAATTGAACTTACAATACAATATTTAACTGGATTACATGATCGAGAAATCAAGTGAGAAAAGCAAAAAAAAGAGACTACAGTAAAATCTCTCTATATGAGCATCTCCTTATATTGCGAAGTCTATAGTCCGCCTAAGCCAATTTGGCTAGAAATGGACCTCTCATATATGAGCACTTCTTCATTATGCATAGTAGACGCTAGAGACCATCGGGTTCGTGTCTGGAGTTTTTCTGTTGACCGGATTCGAAAATTGTGGACCTGACGGGTTCTAGTAGATGCTTATTTCTGATCCTATAAGCGATAACAATCTGTGTAATGTGAGCAACGTATGTTCTATCATTCACGCGCAGAACGAATGGTGGGACACATAGGAAAGGGAATGGACTAGTCGCGGATATTTAAAAGAAAAAAGAACAATATTAGAAAGCAGGATCAGTGCTTGGATTAACATCTCGTCTTTTTTATGTTAATAACTAATGTTCACGCCAGAGTTAGAGAGCATTGGTGTAAGCTCAATAACTCGACAACACCAATAGTTAGCGACCTGTCGTTCTCAGCAATCGAAAGAAAAGAACTCCGAATGTATTTTTGTCTGTTACTATATAAGACAAAATTAGTTTACAACCCGGCATCTTAGCAAAATATTAAAAAAGAATGTATGAAAGCGATGTTCTTTTTCGAAAAAATTATATAAAATTCTATTCATTTTAGATGATGAGTTTCAATATAATTTCATCTTATATAGTAACAGGTAAAAAAAACGTTCAGAGGTTTCCTCCTTTGATTACTGAAAACTACAGGTCCCTAGCTGTTGTCATTGTCGAGTTATTAAGATTACACCAATCTCTCATTAAAAAAAAAAGTTGAATTAATTAATTGTTGGAAAGAAGAAAAAGATCACCTTGTGCAGCTGAAAGAGTGATTGCAAAGGCTGCAAAAAAGAAACTGAAAATCTTCCAATAATGAGCAACTCTGTAAAGTTAGCACTTCTGATTGGTCTCGATAGTGCTTGCATTAGAGAGATTTTATTGTACTAGCAGTTTAAATTTTATTTTTATTGAAAGGTTAAATAATGGATGGATAATCAAAATTGGTCGAGGACTTGATTTTTATAAACCACCAGAATGTAAGTATTGTTAAATTTTATTTTTCATGATTATTATTATTATTATTTTTTATATTGAAAGCTAAATTATCTATTGGATATTATGATCTTGATCTTCGTCCATGTCATCAAACGACTATTGATATATTCCATGCGGAAAGAGTTCATCCATCATCATAAAAAAAACGTATGAATATATTTGTATAATTTAATGCATAGTATTTTTTTCTTTGTAACTGTTATTTTATTTTTTTTTCTTATTTTTTATTTAAAAACCAATTCGAGAATCAGATATGTTGTTGTTTTTTTATTAGATAGAAAACTTAATATTATTTTTTTTTTGACAAACAGTTTAGATGGATAACATAAGATTAGGTTTTATTGGTGGTGGTCGGATTGTAGAAGCATTACTTGATGGACTTCATGAAGCAGATTATCTTCAAAAAATGAATATTTTAATTAGTTGTCCATCTGCAAACAATGATACATCATCATTAAAACGTTTTAGTAATACAATACAAATGACAACGTCAAATATATTTTTATGTAGTAATAGTGATATTGTAATATTTGCTGTAAAAGCAAAATTAATAAAATCAATATGTCAAGAAATTGGAAAAACACTTGACAAGAATTATTTAACAAATATTTTATTTGTATCAATAATTCCAGGTTTAACTATTTCAACATTATCTCAATGGCTTCAAACTGATAAAAATATTATTCGAATTATGTATAATGTTAATGCAGCGAAACGTAATGGTTCATATGCAATCTCATCATCATTAAATAATGAAAATAATCATTCATTGGAAATTTATTTAAAATCAATTTTTGATAAAGTTGCTTATTATGCTGGTAATGTTACTGAATCTGAATTAGATATAATGTGTGCTTTAATTGGTAGTGGTCCAGCTTTTTTTTGTACTGCAGTTGAAGGTTTAGCTGATGGTGCTGTTAAAGCTGGTCTTTCTCGTCAATTAGCAAATACATTAGCAGCACGAACAATGCTTGGTTGTGCTGATATTTTAATAACATCTGGTAAACATCCTGCTGAACTTAAAAATGATATATCAACACCAGGTGGTACAACAATTTATGGTTTACATGAACTTGAAAATAAAGGTGTACGTGGTGCATATATGGATGCACTTATGTCAGCATATAATCGTGCACAAACAATGGCTGATCAATTGGCTAAAGAAATAATATGACATCATAATGTGTGTGTTTTAGTTTTTGCGACAATATTCGTTTCCATCTCATACAATAATCTTTCGTTTAAATTCTTTCTCAATTTGATCCATTCCGATTGATTCTCATTTTCGATCCCTTTCCAGTTCAGTCATAATTCATTAAATAAAATGAATACGATAAACCTTCATTGATCTTTATGATTAGTTATAGTGACAGACAAAAGTTTAGAGCAGCTGTATGTTTAAGTTTTCTTCTCGATGGTGATAGCTAGCAAGGCGTTGAAAAAATATCTATGTAGCTGAAAGAATTCTCTATTAGGATTGTTAGGTCTGAAGACTTCAACAAAATTGCTCGAATGACAGTCTGCGAAAAACTAAGACTCGTAAAACCAGCTATCTGGCTTCCATTTGAAGTTTTTAGAAAAAGATTTTATTTGATAGGGCAAATGATTCTGAGCATGGTTCGAGGTCTTTAACCTCTTCATGACCTTTCTTCATGAAACTGCATTCAATTTACAGAAGTCTCCAAAGGGCTCAAATATGGCGAAGATATTGAAGTTTTCAATAAGAAGAACAGAAAAATGCTTCTTAAGCCTTTTGTAAATTGAATACAGTTCGATGAACGAAGATCATGGATATATCGGAAGTGTATCATTTTTTTCAGAATTATCTGCTCTATCAAATAAAATCTTTCTTCAAAAGCTACGAATGAAAGCTAGCAAGCTGGT